GTGCGTGCGTGCCCGCGAGCGCGCAGGTGGTTCCACAGAGACATCACAGGCCTGCAGGCCGAAGACTTGCTGAAGACTCAGGGCATCGCCGGCAGCTTTCTGGCCCGACCCAGCAAAAAGAACGTGGGCGACTTCTCTCTATCTGTCAGGTAACAATGCCGCTCGATAGGGATGCTCCCTCCCCTTCAAAAAAAAATCCTAAAATTGCCTTTTTGTGAACCCCTTTCGTGTCGCGCAACCGTCATGGATTTGAGAGCGAGTGCAATTGTTGCCGCTTGTGTGTTATTCTATTTTATAGGCTGACACTTTGGCTGTGTGGGGCGAACTTTATCATCATCACGTTTCATTCCGTAAAACGCCTTTGCTATTTTTTTATCATTAACTTTGATTTTTTTTTTTTGCGTGTGTGTGTGTGTGTGGTGGGGGGGGGCAGCGCTGTGAACAGAAAATATGAAAATGACTGAGTTGTGATTACAAATGAGCAGGTGATTAGCTATGCAAAGTTGCCCTTGAGCACAAGCTATGTGACTTGCCCATAACTGTCCAATATGCCCAAACTGTCATCATGCATAATTAAAACAAAAACAAAATGTGAGTAGGTGTGTATCACGTTGGGGGGGGCAGCGCTGTGAACAGAAAATATGAAAATGACTGAGTTGTGATTACAAATGAGCAGGTGATTAGCTATGCAAAGTTGCCCTTGAGCACAAGCTATGTGACTTGCCCATAACTGTCCAATATGCCCAAACTGTCATCATGCATAATTAAAACAAAAACAAAATGTGAGTAGGTGTGTATCACGTTAAACAAATTTATCAGACCACTTCATCGAAACAACAGCGTGCAGCATCATGTTGCGGCTGCTTTAATGCCGACACTTTCAATTTAGCTCGACTTTTTAACCATTCAAGTATGAGGCTTTTTTACCATTGAAGCGATTTTTTTATCGTTATTTCAGAAGACATTTGAAAAATTATGGCCACCACCAATTTTTAGTTCAGCACTTTTTTTAAAGCATCTTTATACAACAAAATAATTGTTACAGAAACATGAACGTTTGTTTGGGCCGCCGGGGCATGCGTATTGGGAACAGTATTAATACACTGTAAAAATGTTAATTTTTATGTCTTAAATATTGTTCAAATTGAAGCATTCTAAGTTGAAGCATGTTATTTTGATCCAAAATACACGGATTTTTTTATTTTATTTTATTTTTTTTGCATCAAAGCTTTTTAAAGGCCATTCCTCTGAATATATTATCATTTTCATGACCTAAAAAGTGTCAAATAAATATTTCACAATAGAAATTTGCTCTCTCCGTTTGCTCACAAATTCGCAGCACGACATACAAATCAAGAGACACCAGCAAGCAAAACAGTTTTTAACAGATTATTTTTTTCAAATATTGAAAAAAAAAAAAAGGACTTGTTGTTTGATGGTCAGGGTGGGCGAGCAGGTGACCCACATCCGCATCCAAAACACGGGGGACTACTACGACCTCTACGGCGGGGAGAAGTTTGCCACGCTGTCCGAACTGGTGGAGTACTACACGGCCGACAGCGGCATCCTGCAGGACAAGGACGGCACCGTCATCGAGCTCAAATACCCGCTCAACTGCTCCGACCCCACCACCGAGAGGTCCGTGCCAACGCTCAATGCCGCCGCAGCCGCCCCTCATGGTTTCACGCTGAAAATCTCGCGCCTTGCATTCGGACAGAAACGATCAACCTCGCATTTTATTTCGACATGCGTCAAGCCGCACCCACGCGTACATTGGATCGAAATGCATTCGGACACATTCAAGAAACAAATGGGTGCAGATAAAAAACAAAATATATACATACTGGATTTTTGAAAATAATAAGAAAATAAGAGACCCTTTAAATCGTGACCGGTGTGTGCCAACCGGCATTTAACACGAGTACGAGGGTGACGGATTCGTTCCCAACACATCTCTCCCCAATTATAAAAGAATGCGATCACGTTATCTGAATTGTTAATTTTAAAAACATTTTTTCTAACGGTCACATTACTGACAGGCTAGGCGGGGGGGGCTTTGAAACGATTCATCTATCGCTGCTGAACCGCCGGTCGTGATTCACACGATTTGTGCTGTCCACCCGACTGTGAAAAGATGCACTTATACTTTCAATCCCCTAAGTGTGCGCGCGTGTGTACACAGTCAACACTTGAGTCAGTCTGGTAGCGTGAGTGTCACCCCCCACCCCACCCGTCCGCTGTCCTCCTTTCTGTCAGTTGTCTAACTTCCCTTTTGCCGCTGCGGTTGGAAACTTGCCGTTTTGACACTCTCGAAAGCGATGGCCAGACCTTCCTCACTCGCCTTCCTCTGTTGCACACTCCGTCGTGTCCTCATCGGCTTCCTCCTCACGCCACCCTTTTTTGCCGCATCTCGGGAAACTCTGCGCTGGACATGAGTTGCTCTTTTATTAGGCACGTCTTTTTCATGCATCCAGGGAAGTCACCCTGCAGTTTGGGCACTTTTCAGACCGACAGTATCATTTTTTTTCCCCCATTAATTCAAATCAAATTTTAGCAACAAGGAGCAGTTTGCCATCTACACTTTGCCCCAAAAGGCCCATTTAGCGATATTTATTGCCACTCCCAGTTGATGTTGTGTTTAGTGTCAAACATCAAAACAGAGCATGTTTATCGAAATGCTAACAATAAATGCAAAACGCCACAGGCGCGCTAATGCAAAACACCGGTGTCGCAGTGACACAAAAAGTCGACATAGGACACCCCCTACTCACAGGCATATATTCTTTATCCTCCATGAAGAACGACGACTATTTTTGCTGCGCATTCCTGAGCAATTGTGACTGCTTCCATGTGGCCAAAGCAATTTACATTTAATTGAAGCCCCCACCCCCACCAAAAAAAAAAAAAAATTCTGTCTCCGCCGTTTGTTTTTAAACATTTTTTTTTGTGCACAATGTTTTATCATTGACAAGAAGCCACATGCTCAGAGGTTGAGGTGGAGGGTGATGAAGGGGGGAGGGGCGGGGGGTGTGGAGAGCCAGCTTGTTTGACAACTAAAAATACTCTGTCCTCTTTAGCCACAAAATCTGTCATCAGAAATTTTCCGACCGCAAAGCAGGAAGTTCAGAAGAAAGAAATCGAGAACTGGGGCTAAAATTAAGCCCAACCCAGCGGAGTCTACATTGACTTCCACGCACGCGCGCACACTGAAACCAAGTGCAGCTTATATGAATCGCGGGAGCAATTCAAATAGCTCTTAACTGACCTCATCTTGTATGTACTCTCATTTCCCATGTCATCGAATCCAATTTCACCTCAGCCAATCCTGTCCCACTTAATCGAATATGAATTGATTTCATTTCATTTTAGCGCACTCCATCTCTGATGTCTTTATTGCTTAATCGCAAATTCCATCCGATTTCTGTCGCGCCGTATGTCTTCATCTCACCACATTCCATCTCACGTTGTGTGATGTGACTCCATCACGTCACGCTCACCTCAGCTCATCGCATGTCCAGGTGGTATCACGGCCACCTGTCGGGTCCAAACGCGGAGAAGATGCTGATCGCTCGCGACGAGTCGGGCACCTTCCTGGTCAGAGAGTCGCTTTCCAAACCGGGAGATTTTGTCCTGTCGGTTCTGACGGACGAGCGCGGCAAAACGGGCGCGAGGAGAGTTTCTCACATCAAGATCATGTGTCAGGTGTGTGTGCATGCCAGGTTCTCTGCGTGTTGTTTTTGGAGTTTAGTTGTATTCAATCTTTTTTTTTTCTTTCCTCTCTCTCTCGCTCTCTCTCGCTCTCTTTGAAGAATGAGCGGTACACCGTGGGAGGCTTGGACATGTTCGACACGCTCAGCGACTTGGTGGACTTCTACAAACGGAAAGGCATCGAGGAGATTTCGGGGAACTGGGTGCACCTCAAACAAGTACGCTGGGATGTGGAATATGTAAGCTACATAGGAATAGGATATTTTTTTTAATTGCGCATGCGTCCGGCAGCCATATTACTCCACCAGAGTGAACGCGGCCGACATCGACAGCCGAGTGAAAGAATTGGATCAGACGACGCTCATGCAGCAGGAGGCCGAAGGCGGGAAAATCAAGGCGGGCTTCTGGGAGGAGTTTGATGTAAGTCAAATCGGTTATCATCTGCATTGTGTTTGTTTTGTGACCTTTCTGGCTTCACGATATTAAATATTGGCTCTGGGCTGCCATCTTGTGGTGGTGGAATTCTCAATCTATGTTTCAAATGTGTTGAATGCTTTGCTGAAACTTAAGCTTCGATCAGAAGGGCCGTCGTGAGCGGACATTGAATTCCTAACCATCCTCACGACTGCCACGCAGGCTCTTCAAAAGTTGGAGGCAAAAGTGAAAAAGAGTCGCGAGGAAGGCCAGAGACCAGAGAACAAGTCCAAAAACAGATACAAGAATATTCTTCCTTGTAAGTCTCGTGTTGTTATCTTTTTTTTTTCCTCAATGCTTTTCGAATGGGTGTTTGTGGGCTATTCATGGAGTGGCCCGGGCCTTCCATGTAGCAGGCATCCACTGTATTGGACTTCATATCTCTATTTCTGTGTTATACTGCCCCCCGCAGGTGGCCACAGCACACACTATAAGGGACCCACAATGTCCATTGAACGGAAGCAAAAAAAAAAGGGGGGGTCAAAACTGCTGCTAAATTCTTTACATTTGATTTAAATGTGTCATGACTGAGTGTTTTTGGAAATTATACACCAAAGAGTGCCATTTAACCTATTAAATTGCCATCAGCGGGGGGAGGGGGGGAGGGGTAAAAGTTTTGGCCAACTGTGGTTTGATCATAAAGTGTGAAAAAAATAAATAAAAAAATTCCCAGCAGACCCCAGTGTGTGTGTGTGTGTGTGTATAAAATGTTGTAAATGTTTTGAATTCTTCATTGCAGTCAATGACACCAGAGTGACCCTGCAGGATGCCGACCCCAACGTGGTGGGCTCCGATTACATCAACGCCAACTACATGCGAGTACGTGGCCCAAAATCCCGCCAGGCCTCTGGGTTGCCCACCTCCCAAGCATAAAGTATACGAGCAGAAAGTTGTTGACTTTGTCTTCCCCGGGTCGCTTTGTAGAACACCTTGTGGGAGTCGGAGAATCCGAAAGTTTACATTGCCACTCAGGGTTGCCTGGCAACGACGGTCAACGACTTCTGGCAAATGGTGTGGCAGGAGAACACCAGGGTCATCGTCATGACGACGAGGGAGGTGGAAAAAGGGCGGGTCAGTATATTTCCAGGTGGTAGAAATCAGGCATTCACACCAATGCGGTTTGGCCTTGCAAAAACAATTTCGAAGGTTGCTATGATGTACTGCAACATTTCTCTTATTTATGATTTGAAACATCATTTAAGAAACAGCAATTTGATCAAAAGTAAATGTTTGTTACAACTCTCATCCAGCAATAGGGATCAAACCTGACCAAGAATGGCAAAAGGACATGACTTTGCCGCTTAGAAGACCACCACGAACACAGTTACCCGACACTAAGATGCCAAAGATGGTGCCAAAGCACTACTTTTCGATTACACACGCAGGCACACGCCTGTCTTTAGAAGCTCCTCCCCTCAGTTCAACATAGTTCCTTCACACCAAATGCCACAAGATGGCACCAAAGCACTACTTTTCTATCAGAGAGGTATGTGGCACCATCTTCTGGCATCTTTGCGGATGTTCAGGAAGCACACGTTCCATGGAGAGCAGAATTGTTAACTAAGGGTGCTTTTTAAAAGAAGTCTTTTGGTTTTCCCAATTTGAGTGAATTGTTCATTGTTCTGCCTTTGAAGTATTCATTTATTTATTTTTTTTACTTTTAAATTCAGCTGTGGCGGATGTCCCCAAATCCTCACAACTTGTACGGTACTCCCATTCCTGCAGGTCCCTCGTTTTGAAATGAAAAGAATCAGACAAAGTTTGAATGAACGGGTGAAGTTTGAAATTTAATTTTTGCCCCAAAGTGCCGGGCACGTACAAGCAGGAACTCGAAGTCATTGCACTGACTCCGGTGGGATCAGACAGGAGTACTGTTAGTAACAGTCATAGTAATAATTTAAATGCCTCATTGATGAAGCCGAAAAATCAGAAGTCAAGCGGTCCCGATCGCATTAGCACTTGAACAAACAAAAGCTACTAGGCAGAAATTATGTGTGGGCTTTTTTGTTTTGTTTTTTTGTGTGTGTGTGTGTGTGTGTGTGTGTGTGTGTGTGTGTGTGTGTGTGTGTGTGTGTGTGTGTGTGTGTGTGTGGAGCCTTAACGTCTGTCTGCCTGACTGTGCGCGCAGAATAAATGTGTGCCGTACTGGCCCGAGAGCCCGGGCACCAAGGAGGTGGGCCGCTACGTGGTGACCTCCAAATCGGACTGGGAAGCGACCGATTACAAAGTCCGAGTGTTGGAGGTGGCACCCGTGAACAAGGTAGACGCCGCGCGCCTTTTTTTCACCTCGCTGCACTCGGGTGAACCTTGCTTAGCGTTTCACCTCACGTCCACAGCCCAAGCACTCCCGCACCGTCTGGCACTACCAGTACCTGAGCTGGCCCGACCACGGCGTCCCGCAGGAGCCCGGCGGCGTCCTCAGCTTCCTCACACAAGTCAACGCCAAACAAGCGGAATATCCGAATGCCGGCCCCATGGTCATCCACTGCAGGTACACGGATGATGCGGAGAGTCGGCGCTCTGTTTCAAGGGACCGGCAGCGCCGTAATTATGATGCGACGACGAATCTGCCGTCATGCAGAAGTCCTTTGGCACTTGGTGTCCGCAACAGTTAGGCCGATATGTCGAGAGCTGAAGCTGCAGTGGTCAATGTTGTAATACTGTCACCCAGTGATGTGCAAAATTGGCAAACAAACATCAAAAGCCGCTATGGAATGGTGAGTGAAGGGTTCCAGGAGTTAAATGGCAAGAGGGAAGATGTTATTTGGAAGGTCTGCTGGTTTTTTGTGTGCTTAGTTCGAAACTTGTGATAAAACAACATTCACTGTGCAAGGACACGTGCATGCATGAACAAAAGTCAACAAAAGTCATCAAAATACAGACAAAAAGAGACCAAACGTCTTCTGGCTTTAAAAGAAAAACAACACAATGTTGCAAAATATATTGCAGTTTCAGGCTCAATTTTTAAGAAGGTAACTGAATTGAAGTTTAAAACCTAAATTGTTACAATATAGAGAGAATGATGGTGAATCTAAGATGGAGCCCTGAGGAACTCCATGACACATATTGAGCCCATCAAACTGAACACATTGAGATTTTTCAGATGGGCTTTTCAGAGACCAGCCCAAGGCCTGTTCAGACCAATCAATACAGGGCCACTTCTCTTTCGTGATCAGATGATCAAACGGTCTCAAAAGCTTCGGATAGATCAATTAAAATTGCAGCATCGCTCTGCCATTTATCCCAAAGATATCATTTGACACTTTCATGGTCGTTATGATTGTGCAATGATGCTTTTTGAAACCAGAGTGATGTGAAGATAAATATCATTTAGGACAAGGAATTCCTTTAGCTGTTCCTTGACTAGCATTTCTCGGATCTTTGCCGGAACTTGTCACTTTGAAACGCGCCTGTCGTTATTCGGAGAAGATACATCACTGTCTTTTAATAGCGTGACAGTAGTGATTTAAATTTTCCTCTTCTTGTCGTTCCGATCCTCATCGTATCGGTGAAGCTGTCGTTTCGACGTCTTGGTGACTGCACGCAGCATTAAGATTAAAACGATCCGAGTTTCAGGATTAGCCTAGCTCAAGATTTGCAGTCGACCGATAGTTTATCCTTGAAGAATGTTTCGGCTTGTGACGCCGGGAGTATAAAGGCCTGTTTTGTTCCGCCCGTGTTTGGGAATGCTCACCCTTACCCTTCCACCTCTACCCTCGTGTTGCACAATAGTTTCCCTCCCAACCAAAGCGACCTGGAACTATATTTCGCCACGAGCGCTGTCAATAAGATAGTGCTGTACCTTGATGTCGGCTGCCCCAATTTGCAAGTTTTCTCAGGTTTCACTCGGTCGTCACACTGATTCTACTTTATGTCTGCAGCGCTGGAATTGGTCGGACAGGCACCATTGTGGTGATTGACATGATCATTGAGACAATTGACACAATAGGTAATACCGCCCGTGCCCCCACAAGTTTAAAAAAAAAAACTGAAGTTGAGTGTGAGTGTACGTGTGAGCTCTCTCGTCCGCCCGCAGGTCTAAACTGTGACATCGACATCTCCAAGTACATCCAGATGGTGCGCGAGCAGCGCTCCGGCATGGTCCAGACCGAGGCCCAGTACAAGTTCATCTATCTGTCCGTTTCCGAGTACATCCAGACCACCAAGGCCAAAGATGGCGCCTACATGGTAAGAAGCCGGTTTGCAACCTTTTGAATACAGTGCTACCTCCACTTTCGAAATGAATTGGTTCCGGAAGAAATTTCTTCACTGGAAAATGTTAAGTAGAGACGCATTTTCCATGTAAATGCCCTAATCCGTTCCAAGCGCCCCCAAACTTCAGACATAAATGTTTTATCAAGCATAAAAATGCATCAAAATATGCAACAAATGCATGTTACAATTCATTCATTCATTCATTCATCTTCAGAACCGCTTGATCCTCACTAGGGTCGCGGGGGGTGCTGCAGCCTATCCCAGCTGTCTTCGGGCAGTAGGCGGGGGACACCCTGAATCGGTTGCCAGCCAATCGCAGGGCACACAGAGACGAACAACCATCCACGCTCACATTCACACCTAGGGGCAACCATGCATGTTTTTGGAATGTGGGAGGAAACCGGAGTACCCGGAGAAAACCCACGCAGGCCCCGGGAGAACATGCAAACTCCACACAGGGAGGCCGGAGCTGGAATTGAACCCGGTACCTCTGCACTGTGAAGTCGACGTGCTAACCACTGGACTACCGGGCCGCCCATGTTACAATTACAATCTTGAAATTCCTTTCGTAACAAGAGGCGATATTTTCCTGTTGAGGCGTTTCGTAACTTGAAAATTTCATATGAAGAGACGTTTGTAAATAGAGGTACCACTGTATTGCGATTTAACATACGTGTTTCTTTTCACGCCCTTTTCCCGCATGTGTGTGTCTGTGTGTTTTGTTTTTGTTTTTTTTTTAAACAAACACAAGCAAAAAAACGAATCTGTGTTCCAATAAACAATACCCCGAATTTGAGATTTAATGTGGAGAAGCGAAACGGCACCATCAAGACAATAACCTGTACAATGTCCAAGTGTGCCGGCGAACCTTTGAACCTTTCTCTGCTGGTTTGTGCTCCTCCGCCCAGAGATGCTTTTTTATCAGCAGCACTTTGTGAGAGATGAACTTTGGCCGAAAAAGTAATCTGCGACATCGATTTCACCCCTGGTCTTATCTCCTCCTACAGGAGCTTGAAACGGAGTACGAAAATCTGCAGCTCAAACACCCGCCGGGGAGCAGGAGCGTTGCCAAGTGAGTGAAAGGGGGGGGGGGTGACGCCCGTTCGATCCGTCACGAGCGCAGCCGCACGTTTCACATCGCGCGGCTGCTCCAAAGCTCGCACTGATGTGACAACTGTGACTCGGCTTCGGTCTGCTCAGCGCTTTTTCAGAGACGAGCATCGTCCATGTTGTCAATATGCGTTCGTTCATCCGCTTGCGTCTGCTTTTAGAGCTGAGCCTGTAACAGAGTAGTATATTTTTGTTGTTATGAGATTTTGATGTATTTAGATTTGAATATTTTCCATATACATTTTCACTTTTTCCGTTTGTTTGTTTTTGGGGTTTTTTTCCCCCTCGTGAATCATGAACGACTTGGCCCATCGATCTATTTCAAAACTCAAACTTGCGGGCCTTGAGGCCACAAGTGTGCCCACGCATGTGCATTCCAACCTCCTCCGTCTTTTTTTTTTTCCCTCAACCTCCCATCTCTGTCTTGGCAGAAGCAAAGAGTCGGATGTGTACGAGAACCTGAGCAAAGCCAAGAAAGACAAGAAGAAGCCCAAGTCAGACAAGAAAAGTGGCTCGCTAAAGAAAAAATAATTTTTTTGGGGGTACATTCTGAAGTCATCCTGTGTTATTTATGTGGGCCCACTTTCACAACACAAACATCAAGTCTAATTTCAGTGCGACGACCAGACCGCAGCGTACTGATGTGCTGAAAATGAGTTCAGTACAACTAGAAGCTGCGTGGCTGCATTTCTACATGTACTCGACTGTACAACTTTGTGCGGACCAGCTTCTCAAATCTTCACATGTACAATAAAAACGAACAGTTCAAGTCACAAGGAGCCATTAAACCTGTGAGAGTCTGTTGACGTCGTTCATCCATTGAATTTCAATGCCGGTGCCGCTAAATAACTGTTTCAACTGCTTTAAAAAATAGTAATAAATGATATTTCAATACTGTATGTAGTCCTCTTAAAATTCAGACTAAATCAGTGAAAGAAATATTTCCATGTCTATTTCCGGCCTCACATTGTGTGGATGGATGGGCAGCCCTCCTGAGGATGACGATGGATTATATTGATTTGTAAGAATCAAACATGTCGCAATTTTAGGTGAATTAATTTCATTTGAATGAAAAAAGGATGACCACAAAAATTGAAAGCAAAATCTTCCTTGTATTAACTGCCGTAGTAAATTGCATTTTTTTCCCAAAATATTATCGCTGAACTTGTTCTGATCATTAATGTTTATACTGCCCCCCTCCCCCCATTCTCATCACATTAATTTTGTCATTTTAATTAGGTTAGTGGTACCTAAAAATAGCGACAATAAATTCTGCCTCATTAAATATGAGCCATTTTAGTGATTTCTTTTTAATGTCTTGGGTATATATGCACGTACTGTATATATGTATATAAATGTGTGTGTGTCTGTAAATATATAGATATAGATGGATAGCTAGATAAAACATTTTTCGAATTGAGAACCTTTTTGAATCGAGGTCCTATTTCGAGGGGAGGGGTCCACTCCAACCCCCAGCAACACGCTCCTCCTTCCTTCTCATTTTTTTGGGCTCTTAGGCCCCGCCCCCTTTGAGTGAAAGGCAATCGGAAAGAAGATTGAATGAACCCTCCCTCCCTCCTTTCTTCCCTCCTTCCAAACTCTGGCATGAGTGGAAAAAAGAAAGAAGCCGTGAGCCTTCTGTGAGTCACTCGTTGCTGCTTCTCGGAATCGACTGCTTTCCAGCTGCCAATTCTCACTTGCTGCTGCACACTTTGCTACCTGAAACATCTCTCAGCATTTCACTCAGTCGGTGGGGTACAGGACCAAGCCAGCATGTCCAAACCTGACTACTCTGGTGTTTTTCACATGGTGGAACAGGACAACATGGACGCCTACCTTGCAGCGTTAGGTGAGATTTTTATTTATATATTTTTTGTATTGTATGCTCATCCTGGACGATATTTTACACAGCATGTGTTGCTTTGCTGCTGTTAAAGATGTGGGGTGGGGAAACCTGCAGCTCGTGGGCCAGATTTGGCCCGCCAGACGATTTCACATGGCCACATCATGCAAAGATATCATTTTTTTTTCCTCCAAAAAAAACTCTTGCAAAAATTTGAGTCCAGGAAAACTGATCAAGGTAGTTGATTTGGCATAAGCTATACAGCTATTAGCACATCCGCCTCACACGACAGAGGTCATGGGTTCGATTCCAGGCTCTTGTGTGGAGTTTGCATGTTCACTCTGTGCCTGTGTGGCTTTTCTCCGGGTACTCTGGTTTCCTCCCACATTCCAAAAACATGCATGGCAGGTTAACGGAACCCTCAAAATTTTCCCTAGGTGTGATTGCGAGTGTGGATGGTTGTCTGTCTTTGTGTGCTCAGTTCAGGGTGTACCCCGCCAGCTGCCCAAAGACTGCTGGGATAGGTTCCGGCATTCCCCCGCAACCCTCCTGACGATAAAGTGGCTCAGAAAATGGGTGGATACAGCTAAAGTATAATACATTATCTGTTAAATCGGGATTGGCGAGTACCAATACCGGGTATCAGCATCGGTGCCGATACCAGCCTAATTTGAAGATATCGGCACTTGCAGAAGCTGCCGATACCATTCGGGATCCTTCAGGCAAAAAAAAAAGTCCTTGTCGGCGCGATACTATGGCAGTTTGTGGGCGTGTCATCATCTGCTTCAGTGAGCAAGCTCTTGGCGCATCATTTTTTTTTTTTTTTTTTGTCGTGACATGAATCCAATTTCAACTGAAATTAAAAGCTCTTGAAAGGGGGTCCCACCTTTGAATTTAATACTGTACTCATTTCTAGTTGCACCTGAGTGCTCTTAAACAAATATGAAACGGCCTTTACTTAAATAATGTCGTAATCTCCATTTGCAGCTGGACATTCAAGGACTGAGCTCATCACCCTGTCCTCTGTGTGACCCCTGCACACACACACACACACACACACACCCGCACACACACACACTCGCAGAGCTTTCCATTCAAGTGCCCTCCTCCTTCCTTAGACATCAACTTTGCTCTGAGGAAGATCGTATGTCTGCTGAAGCCCACTAAGGACATCAGCCACAATCTGGCCACGGGGGCCATGACGATCCGCACTCTCACCACCTTCAAAAACTTCAATATGGACTTTGTCATCGGACAAGAGTTTGCAGAAGACCTGGGCCCCGTGGATGGTCGCACGTGTCAGGTTGGTTCTGCAACGCTGGAAGGGAATGTGATACAAAATGGCTTGGTGTTTTTCTATGAGCAAAGTCAGCTGGGCCTCCTGCGGGGATTTGGTGTTGCAGCTGCCTCCTGTGGTTCAGCTCACAATAGCCACTGGTGTATGTGACCCTGGTGTGTGTTGTGTGTGTGTGTGTGTGTGTGTGTGTGTGTGTGTGTGTGTGTGTGTGTGTGTGTGTGTGTGTGTGTGTCTGAGAGAGAAACACTCCCAATGAAAACAATTACAAAGACGGGTCGGCTTCGGCTCTTTTGAAAAATTCAGTCTCCGAAGCCAGTTTCACTTAGCAGTATGAACATTAGTAGACATACATGTCCGTCACGAGTTGACCCACCAAAAAATCTCAAGATCCTATGCCCAAAAATACACAGACAGTCTGCCATTTTGGTTTTAAAGTGGTGGTTTTGACCCTTTTAAGGAGTCCTTTACAAACTCGTCCTACAGACGTAGTAGGAAGAACAGAACAAATCGAGCTCAAAGCTTGTTGCATGTTGACCATCATGAGTTAGACCCACAAAAAAGTCTCAAGAAACCATGCGCAAAACGTGGCTCCACGTCTACCATTTTGTTTTGAAAAAGCTCATTTTACGGTCATTTTGGGGGGGGTCTGTACTCGACAGATGATGGATGGATGGATGATGATGGTGAAACCTTTTGGGGTGTCCATTATGGTGCTCCATGAAATTTTGCACATCAGTTAAAACGCTCACAATTTAGTGTCATCGTCTGTTATGCTGAAGGTACTTCAAATTTGAGTTTGGGAAAGCTTTCCAAATGCTGAGCAGAAACAATTGCAAGAGCATTCTGGAAAAGAAGCCAGCTCGGAACCAAGATGAAAGGGGGTTTGAAAGGTGCAAACTACTTAACATGCGGAGTGCATGTGCTCTTGTCCTCACAGCATGTCTTTGAATCCCCCCCCCCCTGCCCCCCATCCCCCTGCAGACCACTGTGAGCTGGGAAGGGGACAAGCTGGTTTGCGTACAGCGCGGCGAGAAGGAAGGTCGAGGGTGGACGCACTGGCTGGATGGCAACAAGCTGCATCTGGTGAGAGAGGGAAAAAAAAAATCCCCAACCACATTTCTATCTCCTTATTTGCTCCCAATGAGCATTTTCATGACCAACAGTCCAATCCTGTAACATTTGCTGCATTAAATTAGCCAAAAGTGCTTCATTAAAGTTATTTTTCATCACCGTTGTATTTATTGAAATTCATTTTATGTCCACCCACCGATCTAATCTATTTACGGCGTCTTCATCCTGAATGTGATGTCGTTCTGTTCATCATCCCCAATTCACAATGGAATTGTCCAATTTGTAATGGTTCCCAAACATTCGCGTCTTCAACTTCCACTAGAAATTGATTAAAACCATTCCTGCCTTTTTGCCACCCTATCAACAAATGACATGGGTCTTTTTCCAAAATCAAAAAAGTAAGGCCGCGTGAGATGGGGCAGGTGTGCCTAATCAAGCGTCCCTGGAATGCACTTGGCTTGGACGGAGGGTTGCTGGGCTTGTGTGTCTCATAAAGACGTCTCAAACAGAACGCATTGTTCCCCTCTTAGGATTTCTTCTTTCGCTGCGGAAGCGGGGAGGAGGCGGGGGGCACTGCAGAGCCTCGACAAAAAGGAGTCGGTGAAGGATTTTTTCAATAAGGGGGGGCTAAGCAGGCAGGGAAAAGATTACGGGGTCAAATGACGATGACGATCGGGGTGGGGGAATCAGAACTTTGTTTTGCATATGATCCCGTCGTCGACCGGCGCTCCTTTTGTGTTTGAGATTTTGTCTTTTTGATTGTCACTCTTAATTAAACACCTCCGTGGTCTTCCCCTCCATGGCCTCTTTCCTTCTCCGCAGGAGATGAGAGTGGAAGGCGTCGTTGCCAAGCAAGTGTTCAAGAAGGCCGATTGAAGTCTCTGAAAACAGTGGACACCCGCTACTACTTTTCTTTCTGACTTCCGGGTTGAGTGAACGCTGGCGCGTTTGGCTGCCGCTGCTCAACCCGTATTGTATTATGTTTTATTGTTTTTGTTATTGTAAAGTGTCCTTGGGTGTCTTGAAAGGCGCTTATAAATAAAATGTGTTATTATTATTATTATTATTACTCCCATGTGATGGGGACCCTGCCCCATCGCAAGCGGCAAATGTCTCCGATACTCCCCTGAAAGTGATTAGGATGGACTAAATTAATAGTTTTAAAACTGAAAAAGAACACAAACGATGATCCCAAAACACTTTGAAAGTCTGACAAGGCCCCGATGAACATCTCCAAACGGCTTTCAACCGAGCACGCATATACAGTACACAATGTACAGTCCCTGTACGCTGAGCGACGCAGCCGTTAGCGCTCGAGAGGCTAGCACCTCGGTGTTAGCCCAACCCCAAATTGCTGGATCCATGCAGTCACGGCGCCAACTAGCGGTCGTAGATCGGTTTAGCCACATTCACGTGTGCTGTTCTGATGGAACTGTACTGGTTTTGATGTTATGTTACGTTCTTATTTAGAGAAACTATCATGAGCTAGAGCTAGCATGCGCACAGTCTGGATGCTCTCCCGCTAACTTTCAAAAACAAATCAAACGTGGCTGCTTTTAGTTTTGATTGGATTAGCGCCACCATCTGATATTGTCCTTTAGTGCAAGGAAATTAATCAGTTGACGTTGGTCAGATGTGTGAAGTTGGCTGATGCCATCTAGTGCTGATTGGTCTGAAGCACACGCGTATCTAAAATTTTTGCACGGATTCCACTGGCCGAGCGATGGCTTGTATCTCAAAGGACTCCAAAGTGAAGCCGCTTGTATCTCAAGGCACCACTGTATTTTTGATTTTTCGCCGTGGTTTATAATCGAGGATAACTGTTGTCCCGATAAAAGCGATGCTCCATTACACTCAATATCATACACATCAGAGACACTATTTTGCCGTAAATTTTTCCCATGTTACAGAAAATCGCAAGTGACTTTCCCATGAACAATGGAGGATTTGTTTTTTTAAAAAGCTGCAAACAGGTCAACTCGCAAATGTTGAACCGTGAATATGCGAGTTCCACTGTATACTTTTAGTGAGTATTGACAATAGTCAAGGTACGCGTGTGTGTGTGTGATGTAATTGAATTCTTTTGTGTATGATGGTACCAACTGAGTGACAAAGCAAAGGCAATTTAATATTTGGACATTTTTGCCCGTGCACACGACTTGACCGCAACTGTTTTGAAATAAAACAACCAAAATCTGATGACGTTTGTACTCTCAGGTTCAAGAGGCTTCATAGAAAAACATGGCATTTACCATTTGGAAAATAACAACCATTTCATGAGAGTTTCCCCGATAATGGCCAAAAATATAAATCAGATAAAATGTTTGTAATTGCCTACAGATGCCGTAAGATTTTTTTTTTTTTGAAGACTCAATGCCATCACTTCAACACACTTCAAGTTCCACGATATTTTTCAGCAAATAACAGACGATCAGCTCCAACTAGAAAGCTGCAAATAGTATTCAGAAAATATGGAATCACAAATATGCGAGGAACACTGTAGCAATAAATCGAGTAAACGTGCTGATGATCCTGCTCCTTATCAACCGGCACCTGACGTTGTCATGACAGCAAGTTCCAGTAAAAGGCCTGCAGGGGGCAGTAACACGCACAGGTGTTCGTTGCTATGAATGTTCCATGTACAGTACTGTATTTGCGTCAATGTCCTTCTGCGGTCCAAGTACATCGCACTCATGTTCCACACCACTCGTTCTCCTGCGGCTCCAAGTGGCTCCGGTGGTACGCATCGGTCCCGTTCCGCTGGTCCGAAGAGTTGCTCTGAAGAGTGAGCGGAAGGTCCCTGTTGTGCTCCGTCCTGCAGATGATGGCGCTTTCATCTGGAGATTGAGCACAAAAATGACTACCGTACTCGTCATCGTGTCACCGCCCCCCCCCCTCGTGGTTTTCAAACGCACGTTTAAGTGTTGGCGTCACGGCTAATTTTCATCGTTTGTGGGCTCATCGGTTTAGCGGTAGACGAACTTTTTGAACGTGTCATGCCGCTTTTTTTTTTATTTGTTAGTCGAAAGGTGCGTCTCAAAAGGTCGAACAAAATCAATAGATTTTTGTTGAAAAGTGAAGTTGCGAAGTCAAACTTGCGTTAAAAATTCACTACAGACCAAGGTCATGGTAGTTTGGGATGTTTCGTCATAGTGAATTTTTATCTCGTCTTGATGTTTGTTTTTTAAATTAGTTTCGCTTTCATTCATTTAATTAGTTTGTTGGTTTTTCTTCGTTTTTTAAGTTAAAAACAGGTAATTGTGTTTGTGTGCGTGTGTGTGTGTGTGTGTATATACATATAGATTTTATATAGAGAAAGAGTCCTCAAGCTTTACTGAATAATTGCCATTATGTTGTTTATTACCCAGGTCGAGCAGAGTAAACTGGCAGGCCTTCGTCATCTCACTCTGATCAAAGGTTTTGTGGGTCTGCATGGAAGGTTTCACCAAACTCTCCGTGATGGTCCTCTCCTCAGGAATGGCAACATTTGTCCTGGCTGTGGATACCACATGCAGAATTCAATGTGTGCGTCATTTTTTTAAAAACTTTTACTGAAGTCAATGGCTTGAATGAGTTCTTTTACCGGTCTTTTTCTGCATGATCTTGCAATATTTGCAAGGGAGCGCAAAGTCATTTTTCTTCCCTGTCACCTTTGCAGCCCAGTATTTTTTTTTTTTTTTGGCAGAGGAAAAATGTGCAAACAATGAGTCCGTCAAATTGCCTCTAAATCTTAACGTGACCACAAGAGACGGTGTAAGGTTTTTTCACACACCCACACCAGTGCGAAATTGGCATTCACAGTAAATGTCAGTCAAAACAACCCGTGGCACATATGTAAGCGTCGTTATGAGTCAGCTGCCGGTGCGATATGTGAGTCACATAACCGCCGCATTATTGTGTTACGTTGAAAACGCGCAGGAAGTGGTTTCCTCTTTCACTTTGTCATTTACTTAAATTTCATGTGCGTGAAAAGGTACAATGACAAGAATGACATACCGCAATTGTTTTGGAGCGTCCTGCCTATTTAAATGAATAAGTAATCAGGGTACATGGCTGCATATTCAGTTGTAACTACACTCAAAGTTTTATTATTATTTTAAATATAGGCAGCCAGTAAAGGAAGCGGTGGGCGGATGTTTGCAACAGGCAAGTAGCAGACCTTAAACGGAGGCGTCGAAAAGAAGCACGCGTTTGAATTGTTGCATTGACGCACCTGTTTTGATTGATTTGCATTTGGCCTTCCACGACATCAACCCTAAAACGACGAGAATGGTCAGAACAAAGCCCAGCCACAAGCCTGCAGGTAAAATCCACGGGCAGTCTGCAAAAGAAAAGGGGCTGTTCATTTGGGCAGGGCAACATGGCCGAAAGTAAATGCTCAAACTCTTTATTTATTTATTATTCTTTTCACAAAATCCAATTCCCTATTATAATACAGGAACCCCCACCCACCCAACATCGCAGGTTCTGGGTTGGCAGTCCCGCTATTTTTTGTGTGCACGCAAAACAATTTTGTTCTGCCTCGTGTTTGTTTTGGGGTATAATTTCAGTGTCAACCAACAGATGGCAGCAAACTAGTTTGGCACTGTGTTAAATTGAAAGAAGAAGAGTGAAAACGGTAAGTACGATAATGTTAGCACAGCCTACTTTTTGCTGAAGATTATTTCGAGTCAGTCCTCTTTACTCCTGTTTTTTTACACTTTCAGAAAATGACGGCTGTAGGTAAATCTTATGGTGGGCATTATTATTAATGTATATTATGAGATATCGTTAAAAATACATAAAACCTAAACACTGTCTTAACCTCGTCAACAACACACCTTGTTGAGGCCCCTCCTTCCTTTGGAATAAGAGTCGCAAACAAGTTAGAGACACAAAAAAAAAGGGCTCATGCTTCCTGAAGGAGGCAATTTAGTAACATCTTGTGGGATGTAATATGGCAAAGTCATCAGTCAAAGATAATCTAGTTCCATCCTGGCCACAGGCTACCAGCACAGAAGGGAGCCTGGAAGATGACAATTCATGTCAAAATGTTACCCACCAGTTTTGAAATCTCCACAGATGGCGTCAGCGGTGGAGGTTCCTGCAGTTTTCAGCACTCTACCCAAGTCCTCACATCTGTCGGCAACCACACGCATTGTCAAACAAATGCCTTCTTGTCACGTCAGGTATCCTGAATATAATTGTATAGCAGGAATGTGAAATTTTGCATGAAAACATTGCCTATATTATGTTGGCAGGCTTGGATTTAGTTTAGATGTTTAGATGACCTCCTATGATGGAAAATAATGTTATTTAAATTAGGACAACGTGAAACTCAGCTAACATAATGGAATAGTGTTGAACTTTGGAGGTCCCATGGGCATTTGCAGCTGGTCAAAAGTGGCTGCCGGAGCATTGTCTCACCACTCGGCCCATTTATTTTTGGATGCGCGGGATAAAGAGTTTGTGGTTCATGATGAGTAAACTTAATCCGTTTATCTCCGCTGTCTGATTTAGTGACCCGCAAATCTTGACCCGTTGACTCTCATTAAACGTTTTACATTTTTGACATCGTTTTGTATGCAGGAGGTAGGACCAAGGTGGGGCCCGAGATACCGGTGCCCCAAACCAGCACCGAGAAGTCCATTTTCCGCCACCGAATCAAATCAAGGTAAGTGCCCGCCTGGCTTTATCATTGTTACTATGTATATCCATATAGATATATATTCACACACATTGTTTTCAGAACTATATTTAATCATATTTATTGTGAAATAGCCAAAGCTTGTGGCCCAAATATAGCTGGCACTACGTACCGTGTGGGCTACATTCACGATTAATTTGATCCCAAATATAGTTTTTATTCTCGTTCTCGTCCTTTTCTCATTCATTTTCTCCTCAAAGTTTATTTCTTAAAAAAGTAAATGTTACATGACATCAGAGATTTTATTGTTACAAAAATGAACATTTATTACCACAAACGCATTCACACAAAAGTTGAAATAATTGGAACGCATAAGTCCTGGTTTCGATTACCAGGTGCAAATGTGAAAGCACCCATCATCCCTCAACGTGAGCGTCTCTCAGTTTATAATTCGGTACTTGTGATGATTTAAAAAATGGAATTTGGTGAGGTCCCTGAAGAAAACACCCTTTGAGGGGATAAGGTACCAGCAAATGAGCAGAACCTAGACCTGAAACTATCATCCAAGACGGACTGAGGGAGACGAGACAACACATTCTTTCCCTGACGACAACAATTGAAAACGATACACACAGAAGACATTTTTAGACCTGGTGTGTGATTGGCAGGCTGAGTGGGAGTCGGACACGTTGCTGTACGTTCCGTTACCGCACGGGGTGCAGATCGTATCGTTGGCGCCGCCCGCTGTAAATAAATAAATTAATAAATAAATATTCCTTTCACTCGTGGAAATGTGACTTGATGCTCACACAAGTTGATGGAGGGCCTACTTTGAACCTTGACCCCTGACCCCAGAGGGCAGGAGGTTGCGGGCATGCAATGGTCGCAGGGATCACCGCTGCAGAAGAAGCCCGACACGCACTTGCATACCGTGTCCTTGTCAGCCGCGCACGCTTCCGCTGTCATCTGGTTGTTGCCTGCAAGCAAGGCAGCCTCGTCGAAACAATCGAGTTTGTTTGTTGACTTTGACATTGAAGAATCAAGTCATCGCCTGGAGACATTTTTTTTTTACACCAAGTCCAACAGCCTGGCCACTGTACTGTACAATAATACAGTTTACAATAATCAGTAAAATAACGAAGTTACTTTTTAAGCAAGTAAACAGTAAAGTAACTAGGTTACTTTTTCAAGGTAACTGTTGACAATACTGAAGATGAATTGTTTTTTGGAATGTAACTACTAAAGTAAGCTGTAATCCCACATAATTACTTTTGAAATCGCGCAATCGGGAAAGCAAGTTACATTTTAAAGTAACTATGTTGCTTTCTACACAAGTAATCAGTCAAGTAACAGTTACTTTTCAAGCAAGTAATCAGTAAAATAACAGTTACTTTTTAAGCAAGTAATCCGTGAAAGTAACTTTTACTGTTTCAAGTTAGCTGTGACAATACTGCAGATAAGTTATGTGTTTTTGAATGTAACTATAAAAGTGACTTGGAACTGTTTTTATTTTTGGCAAGTGACTCTTCTATCGGCTTTGGCTGTCCCGAGGTCGCGGGAGCGCAACTTACTGGCACTGCACGACTTGCACACACGGCATCGAGTCAGGTGATTTCTGGTGGCTGTGTAGAGTCCTCGTCCGCAGGCGTCGCAGCGAGTCTCGGCGGCGCGGTCGCAGTCGGCTCGCACGAAACTTCCTACCGAGGGTGAAAAACGGGCCACCGCAAAGCGTGAGGTGACGCCGCTTCGGCTGATCCCGAAGCGGGCTCTCCGACTGACCTGCTGGGCAGCGATCGCAGCATCTTCCGGCTCGACTCAAGTACTTCTCAGCGTTGCACTTGGCGTCCGCCATTTCCACTCAGATCTCCTCAAGCGCTGTCCTCAGAGGTTTTCTTCGCCCTGATGTGTGCGACTGCAAATGAACAAGTTTCCCCCACGTCGGCCCTGTCGTCCCACATTGTGGAAACCCGCCCCCCTCCCACCATCCCCCACCACCCCTCATTTTGCCATCTCATTTAATGTCTCTTTTTTTTTTTTTTTGGTCCCCTCTTATTTCCTTCCTGCCCTCCCCACCTCCATTCCGCTCCCCACTTTGTTCGCGCGGTGTAACCTGCGAGTGTTTCCGCCGCCGCTGCTGAGGGCCTGAGAAATGTTGATGTTGGCTGCGGAGACGCACAATGCGACACAACTGCACTTTTTTCCTCTCCGCACAGAATATTAATAGACAGATAAAATTGCAGCAGCGGCCTGGTGGTTAGCGCGTCAACCTTACAGTGCAGAGGTTGTGGGTTTCCTGTGTGGAGTTTGCATGTTCTCCCCGGGCCTGTGTGGGTTTTCTCCGGGTGTTCCGGTTTCCTCCCACATTCCAAAAACATGCATGGCATGTGAATGGAGCACTGTAAATTGTCCCTAGGTGTGAGTGTGACCGTGGATGGTTGTTCGTCTCTGTGTTGTTCGTCTCAGGGTCACAACTGGGCATTTCACACGTTACCTAAAATGAGCCTTTGAAAATTATTATGATTTTTTTTTTTAATCACTCCCTTCGAGCGCAGCCTCAAATGTTGCCATGTTCTCCTTCCAAACAGCCTTCTTTCTCTTGTATTTTTAGAAATGTTGTCAAATGTTTTCCTTTCATTGTCAAAATGAGACGGTCATTTGGGGGCATCGACTGCATAACCGGGGGAAGTTACTGGCAATCATGTGGAGGTTTGCCAACCTTTGGCGGCAGACTTTGACACCAGCGCGTCACGTTGTGCTATAAGTGCTGGCCGACGAGCTCGGACACAGCAGATCTCAAAATGGAGTGGGGCGCTTGTTTCATGGGGTGAGTTCCAATTCGCCCTATCAAGTGTGCTGTGCATCAGTCATTTAGAAGATAAGAAAACCTTTATTAGTCTCGCAATGGAGAATAGGCTCCAGTACCCCGTGTGACCCTTGTGAGGATAAAGCGGATCGAATAATGGATGGATGGATGTTCAATTCGTTTTTCGAACAAGTTTGTCAGTTTATTTATATATATAATTTTTTTTAATGCTTGAGTTTAGTTTTTTTCTTAGTTTTAGTGTAAGCTTTAGCTTTTTTTTAGCTCGTTTTGTGAGGAAAATGTAGAGTCAGTGAGTTTGAATCTTTTTCGAAGCCTTTGTGTTTATCTTATTTGCCGAACTGTGACAAACGGATTCAACTTTGGCCCTCTCACCCTTGTTCTAGGTTTCTGTGTTTGGTGGCCGTTGAGCCCTTGCAACAGTTCGACAGCAAAACAAATGGTAAGAGCTCCCGAAATATTCTCTCATGATCGTCTGTACAGTGCTTGCAAAAGAATGCACCGCAACTACACAACGCTTTACCAGCCGGACATGTACTGTACGTATCAGGTCCGAGTTTCCATCTGCACTATTGCACCCCGACTGACTTGCTGTCCCCACATTGCCAGTCCCCCATTATGTTCCCCGCCCCCTGGGGTGGTTTGGATTGAGCTCAATAAAGTCTGCCTCGTAACACAAAACGCTGTCAATAAATCCCGTTTATCTTTGTGACGCATGTGGCCCCGATGATTCTTAACCAGGCCATTAGTTTTGGTGAAGTGCTGTTTTTCATTTGGTGATGGTGTACACAAGTGATGGGGGAGAAAAACCTCCCACAAAAAAGAAAATAAAATCCATATCCAAAATGTATGAACTACTTGCAGCCAATAGGGACCGAGCCCCGCTGCAAATAATCAAAATGGAGGTCTTGTGGGGCTCAGGGGTCACTCCTTCAGACCTTCGATGACTCTGTGGTGGCTTCAGCCATTCATGATGGCATATCGTCTGCTGGTCAGGCAGCATCTCAGCCCGGGACAGAGCGAGACTGGACCGACTGGTCAGGAGGGCCAGCTCTGTCCTAGGCTGCTCCCCCTGGACACTCTGGAGGAGGTGGGCAACAGGAGGATGCTAGCTAAGCTAACAGCTATGATGGACAGACCCTCCCACAGAGACTGATGCACCCGTGCTGCAAGCAGGAGAGGTACCGCCGCTCATTCCTGGGTTCATCGGTCCCCAAGAAGTAGCTCTCACATTCAAAAGGATTGCTGCCTCCTGCTCGAGATGATATACATCATGCGAGAAGCAACTTGGATGCTTTCGAATTGCGTACAAGGCACGAACGGGATTGCCCAGTTGAGGACCAAAGTAGCTTTTCAGGCCCGGGGGGAATGCAAGTGGAAGGGATTTGCTGCGCCCAACTCCTTTGTCCTTTGCCAGGGTTCTGCGACAGGGACATATTTAACGACCGAGAGGGGTACCTGTCCAGCCCGGGATACCCCCAGCACCCCCCAACCCACGCCGTGTCCTGCCGTTACAACATCTCAGTGCAATCCGGCTACTCCATCTCTCTCAACTTCTCGGATGAGTTCCACATCGAGAGCGCGGTGCCGCAGCATGACGCGATCTGTCCTTATCACTGGCTTCGGGTAAGCGCGGGCCACCAGCTTCCGTGCCAGTCGGTTGACCGTCTCTGAACTTCTTCTTGCTCTTCACCCCCCTTTGTTTAGGTGACCATCCCGGGCCGTGAGCCCATGAAGCTGTGCGGCGACAGGAGCCCCGGGGTGATTGACACCAACTCCAGCAGGGTCACCCTGGACTACCACATGGACGGCAAAGGCCTGAGTCGAGGCTGGAGCCTGCACTTCAGCACGCGCAGTGAGTGGCATCGTGCGCGACTCCATGCGGGTTCTCGAGCCATAGTAATCTTTGGATTTGGGTTGGTGGGGTCTCCAGAAGTCCAATGTCCGCATCCAGGCAGGGTCGCTAACGGCAGAGGGCCCTCCGCGGTGGCAGAATTCTTCTATGGGGATCGTATTTTCGTGCGATGTCACCACGGACACAAACTGATGATGGTATGCTGAAACTTTTGGGGTTGCTGATCGAACGCTACGGCCTCCGCTTAGGAGGTTATGGCAGCGTTCTCTCTTTGACTGTGCACTAAAAAAAGTCTTCAAGGTGACTTTACGACTTCAACAAAACACATTTCACATTTGTTGTATTTATGGGGGAAATCAAGTCTAAAAATGTCTTAGAATGCTTTTCTGATTAATATTGTGTTTGCGGAATAAGAATTTTCATCCATCTTCATGTGATAAAACCAAACTGGATTTGACCCGGATGTTTCCATGTGAATGTACTTCTTACCTTTCCATGCATGGGCTTCACTCCTCAAGAAAAAGTGTCCAAATCCAAATGTTGACAGCTTTGTGGTTGAATAAGATTCCTTCGTGATGCATCCTAGACAAAAAGCAAAAACTGCAACCATTCGTTTCTTTTTTTTTTAATCTCCCGATTTAATTGCACAAAATGTAGTCTTCCGATGCATAGTCGGGGAATCATCAAAATCAATGTCATTTATCTCATTTTATCTCCCTGTGAATTTTGCATCACTCCCTTTGATCTTTTTGATCTTTCAAAGCAAAATGCAAGATACAAATCAATCGATCATGCACATAACATCCTTATTTAATTCAAAAACGAATTTTTCCCACGAGAGTCAAACAATTTCTCGTGACGTGAACTGGATAAGTTAATTTTCACAAAGTGACCTTCTCGAACGACGCGAGCAATCTGGAGAGCTACAATTCACAGTCAGAAATATCTTTCTCAGGGTGGTCAACTGCTGGAGAGTTTCTCAACTACGTGCCAAGAGAACGGACAGTGGCGTGATCGCCTGCCGGACTGCAAAAGTATGTTGAAGACCAAACTACATCCGACCCCGGTATTGATTGCTGATCTGCTTGTTCTACTGTCTCCCTTGCAGAATTCCGCTGTGGGGAACCCCAAACATTGCAAAATGGATGGATGACGTACTTGTCTGGTGCTCCGAATGAATACCTGTCAGTGATCCAGTATGGCTGTGATCCTGCGTACTCTCTCCAAGGTCACGACAACGGTGCGAGGTTTTGGCCAGATGGATCATGACAAAACTCTGCTGATCGAATGGGACACAAATACAAGTGTTGTTACAAAAAAGTCTGCCACATTTGCCATCAGTTGACTGAAGTACTGATGGGTGTTTATTATCGTAGTTATAGTTTGCGCTGGTGTAGACCGACACTACGGAAGCGTGGAGCCGCCAACGCGTACCTTTACGCGAGGAGGTTCCAACATGCTCAAAGCTAAAACCAGAGCATTTTTCGCTATAATTCCATTTGCGCATACCAAAGTTACCAAAAAAAATACATTATACCAATACGTTCGAAAAGTAAAGATGTAAAAAGTGTTTAGGAGTTCCAGTATTTTGATGAGGTGCATTTTCCCATCATGCTTTAAGGTAAATTGACGTCAACACCCGTGGGAGGATGGGCGAAATATTTGTAGCATTTAGCCGACACGTGGGTCCAACGTATTTACTGGCAGAAGTCTTTTTGACGCTCAAACCATTTGGCCAGTCAAATATGTTTACATTGGTCGCTCCGCGCGCCCGTACCGCACAGCATCATTCCGCCAACCCCAATGTTGTTACCTTACGAAGTTCAAAATGATCCGATGAAAGGATACCGCTGTTAGTGATGAATTCGCCAATCCAAAAAGGTGACTAATCCAGGTCGGTTCCCTCACGTACTCTGAGCAGGGATGGATAAAAGAATCGGTATTTGATTCCTACGGATTGATTTGGGGAGCCAGTTTCGACGATCTATGGTACTGTATATATCTCATTCTCGCGCGCGTTCTGCTCAGTCCAACACCGGCATCCAAGAAGACATTCAGATTATTCAGAGACTCTCCCTTTCAAAATATTCAACGTCAAATGGATGGATCGTGTTGTCAGCTGCTAACGCTGAAGCCAGCCATATTTCTGACCATCTCACTTGTTCTCTGTGTCCCCCCAGTGACGTTCACTTGTGAAGCAGGCGGACAATGGATATCCAACACGGCAAATGTTCAAACCCCTTTCTGCACACCAGGTACTGTACGGTTATGTTAACCGCAACTACCTTTTTTAAAATCTTTGCACCTTTACTGTACTCCTTAAAGCAGAGGTCCCCAACCTTTTTTGCCTTCAAAATAATATACGCTGCAAATAAAAATGTAGCCTTCACTTTCTTGAAAGTCGTAGGCTCCTCTTCTGTCTCCTGGCTGGTTGAAAGTGCTCTCTAAATACAGTCACCCGTGGCTACACTTTTTCCCCCTCTCACTCAACCGTCTACCCACACTATGGCTGTTCAACTCTTGCCAAAGTAAAAAGTGCTGCAAAGGTCTCGGGGAAAATGCAGTTAACTCTTTCATTCCACAAGGCGTACTTGTACTCTTTTTAAAATTAGGCCCCGCCTACCAAGGATGTACTTGTAGTCTCGGAATGAATGTAAGTTATTTCTTCTTTCCGTGCGGTCCGGCACCAAATGACCCGCGGACCGATACCGGCGGTTGGGGACCCCTGCCGTAAAGGGTTGTACTGTATATTCTGAATATTTATTTGGCCATTGGATAGTTGCGTTTTATTTGTGTTAATTACAGTACCAGTCAGAAGTTTAGGCACACCTTCAAATTCAACTGGTCTCAAAACAAATGGAGAGGTCAAGAACTTCATGCTATCAATTCTCCAAAATGCACTGCTGTCAACTGAAAGTCTTTCCAGGTTGTAACGCAGCGTCCACGTCATCCAGCTGACGAAGGAAATACCAAGATCGTTTTATTTGTGTTAATTACAGTACCAGTCAGAAGTTTAGGCACACCTTCAAATTCAACTGGTCTCAAAACAAATGGAGAGGTCAAGAACTTCATGCTATCAATTCTCCAAAATGCACTGCTGTCAACTGAAAGTCTTTCCAGGTGGGTAAAGCAGCGTCCACGTCATCCAGCTGACGGAGGAAATACCAAGATGTGCAAAGTTGCTGAAGAATGGAAAAAGATAGAAACCATTTTTTTCTGCTGAAAAAAGAGAGTCCAGACTTTATTTTGGTAGGCTCTGTGTTGTTCGTCTCAGGGTCACAACTGGGCATTTCACACGTTACCTAAATTGAGCCTTTGAAAATTATTATGATTTATTTTTTTTTTTTTTTAATCACTCCCTTCGAGCGAAGCCTCAAATGTTGCCACGTTCTCCTTCCAAACAGCCTTCTTTCTCTTGTATTTTTAGAAATGTTGTCAAATGTTTTCCTTTCATTGTCGAAATGAGACGGTCATTTGGGGGCATCGACTGCATAACCGGGGGAAGTTACTGGCAATCATGTGGAGGTTTGCCAACCATTGGCGGCAGACTTTGACACCAGCGCGTCACGTTGTGCTATAAGTGCTGGCCAACGAGCTCGGACACAGCAGATCTCAAAATGGAGTGGGGCGCTTGTTTCATGGGGTGAGTTCCAATTCGCCCTATCAAGTGTGCTGTGCATCAGTCATTTAGAAGATAAGAAAACCTTTATTAGTCTCGCAATGGAGAATAGGCTCCAGTACCCCGTGTGACCCTTGTGAGGATAAAGCGGATCGAATAATGGATGGATGGATGTTCAATTCGTTTTTCGAACAAGTTTGTCAGTTTATTTATATATATAATTTTTTTTAATGCTTGAGTTTAGTTTTTTTCTTAGTTTTAGTGTAAGCTTTAGCTTTTTTTTAGCTCGTTTTGTGAGGAAAATGTAGAGTCAGTGAGTTTGAATCTTTTTCGAAGCCTTTGTGTTTATCTTATTTGCCGAACTGTGACAAACGGATTCAACTTTGGCCCTCTCACCCTTGTTCTAGGTTTCTGTGTTTGGTGGCCGTTGAGCCCTTGCAACAGTTCGACAGCAAAACAAATGGTAAGAGCTCCCGAAATATTCTCTCATGATCGTCTGTACAGTGCTTGCAAAAGAATGCACCGCAACTACACAACGCTTTACCAGCCGGACATGTACTGTACGTATCAGGTCCGAGTTTCCATCTGCACTATTGCACCCCGACTGACTTGCTGTCCCCACATTGCCAGTCCCCCATTATGTTCCCCGCCCCCTGGGGTGGTTTGGATTGAGCTCAATAAAGTCTGCCTCGTAACACAAAACGCTGTCAATAAATCCCGTTTATCTTTGTGACGCATGTGGCCCCGATGATTCTTAACCAGGCCAATAGTTTTGGTGAAGTGCTGTTTTTCATTTGGTGATGGTGTACACAAGTGATGGGGGAGAAAAACCTCCCACAAAAAAGAAAATAAAATCCATATCCAAAATGTATGAACTACTTGCAGCCAATAGGGACCGAGCCCCGCTGCAAATAATCAAAATGGAGGTCTTGTGGGGCTCAGGGGTCACTCCTTCAGACCTTCGATGACTCTGTGGTGGCTTCAGCCATTCATGATGGCATATCGTCTGCTGGTCAGGCAGCATCTCAGCCCGGGACAGAGCGAGACTGGACCGACTGGTCAGGAGGGCCAGCTCTGTCCTAGGCTGCTCCCCCTGGACACTCTGGAGGAGGTGGGCAACAGGAGGATGCTAGCTAAGCTAACAGCTATGATGGACAGACCCTCCCACAGAGACTGATGCACCCGTGCTGCAAGCAGGAGAGGTACCGCCGCTCATTCCTGGGTTCATCGGTCCCCAAGAAGTAGCTCTCACATTCAAAAGGATTGCTGCCTCCTGCTCGAGATGATATACATCATGCGAGAAGCAACTTGGATGCTTTCGAATTGCGTACAAGGCACGAACGGGATTGCCCAGTTGAGGACCAAAGTAGCTTTTCAGGCCCGGGGGGAATGCAAGTGGAAGGGATTTGCTGCGCCCAACTCCTTTGTCCTTTGCCAGGGTTCTGCGACAGGGACATATTTAACGACCGAGAGGGGTACCTGTCCAGCCCGGGATACCCCCAGCACCCCCCAACCCACGCCGTGTCCTGCCGTTACAACC